ACTCAGAGATTTGCTGACCAAAAAAAAAAAAAAATTTAATTTAATTTAAAAATTAGCATGACACAAGTTCATACACTTTCCCTGTTCCCTACATTTATTATTTGCTCTAGCCTTTGAAAAGCTTCACAGTTTATTACTTTAGCTCACCAAATGGAGAGTCCTAAATCAACTTCATTTCCTTATTCCACTTTCTGTCAGGAACCAGTGTATGTCACCTCATTAGGCTACAGTAATGTACAAATGAGTGTAAACGAAGTCCACACCCTTGTTCCACAGCAAGATTCCAACTGATCTGCTCAAGGCCTTCGATTTTTCAACTCAACATACATTTACTGGGTACCCGTTACGTAGTAGACGTGGACTAAACGAGGCAAGGACACACAATGATAAAAGATGCTTGTCTTCAAGTGGCTTAGGGTGAAGGAGAGTTGGGGGAAATCAGAGGCAAGATGAACCATGAGACTGTGGACTCAGAAACAAACTGAGGGTGTTGCGGGGGAGGGGTGTGGGGGATTGGGTGAGCCTGGTGGTGGGTACTAAGGAGGGCACATATTGCATGGAGCACTGGGGGTAGTGCATAAACAATGAGTCTTGGAACACTGAAAAAATAAAATAACTTTTTCCAAAAATCTCATTTCTTCTTAAAAATAATTACATGATCTACTACATCTCCTCTTTAACAATCTTGCATTATTATGCCTGAACTACTGCCCACTGACTTCACCAATCCATAGAGCAGTATTCAAATTAGGTAAAAATTTAAAATTACAATACTCAACTGTAATTCTGGGCAGAAAAAAATTTTAATTTTTATGTCTATAACTGTCCAATCAACCCTGCATCTTCAATGAGTCCTTCTATGTGTGAACGTACTATTACCCCACCCCTTCCTTTCTGAGTCTCTCTTCTCCCCACCCCCCCACCTCCACTTTCTCCTGCCCATCCACTTACACTTGGAATGCTACGGTTCACAAAGCCATAGCACAAAATTATCTCACTGTGCCCTCAACAAAACTGGCCAGATGGTGCACTCCGCACAGAAGGCGGGGGTCAGGTGCTCGTTGATCGCTGCTGCATCCCTGTCACCTAGCGCAAGACCTGACACGCTCGCCACAAACGCCTGCCCAGTGAATGAATGGATGGCCCTTGTTAGAAATTACAGTCCTCGTTCTACAGACAGGGAGACGTATGCTGAGAGCGGAGCTTGCTAATGAGAGGCACAACTCCCCCACATCGACTCCTCAGTGCAGTCAAGCAGTCCATGCTCCGGATCCAAATCCCGGCAGTGCTCCTTGCTCTCGGGGCTGCCTTAGGAAAGGGAACGCCTGGGTTCATGACACCTGTGGTAAGAAGGGTATACACCTGGATTGCTGTAGTGGTACTGGTGACGATGACTAGCACTCCTGGCACCTCACAGCAGCTCACACTTGCCGAATGTTCCCTGACACTGTGTCACCCGGGCTAGGCGAACTGCTCTGGGAGATACTGCAACCCTTCGCGATCCACTAGGGAACGTGAGCGACCCCGGAGCTGCTCCAGGGCAGCAAGCCAGCGGGGGAGCCTTCGGGTTCCACACGCAGGGCCGCGCCCTCGGCGGTCGGCTCTGTTTGCCACAGCGCCCCCATGGCCTCCTCTGGTCGACTCCAGCTGTCACCGTCACCGTGGCGCCAGGGCGGCCGGGGGCGCGCGTCGGTTCTCACACCTGCGCTCCCGCACCCGGGCCCCGCCCCTCACCGTGGGCATTGTGGGCGCACCCCCACCTGTGTAGTCGGTGGGTCGCGCTGAAGGAGACGAGACGGGACACTCGCGCCCGGGGGTACCCGCCCTCGCCGGCACCCGCCATGCTCATCGCCTCGCCTCCTTCTTCGGCTGGCGGCGGGGCAGGACGGCAGCGCGTCCCGCGGCTGCGCAGTGCGGCCGGCGTTCTGGGACGCACTCTCGGCTCCGCGCTGCGACTGGCCCCCTCTGCTGGTCTGGAGGCAGTAAGGCGTCCCGTACTGTGAGCCTCTTGGATAGGCGGAGTTGGGATAAGCTAGGCAAACCTCCCAGCGGCCCGTCGGAAAAGGTGGGTGGAGCCTTAGTGTCTTTCATTATACTGACTGCTGGGCCTTAGGCCACGTAGGCCTGGGCACACTTTGGGTACTGGAGAGAGCTCTTTGAGTTGCTCCTGCCACTCCCTTCCAGAAAGCCCTAGTTACAATAACCTCCACTGGCTGAGCCCAACCTAAAAGGAGCGGGAATTTCAGAGCACGTGTGGGAGCACTTGGCTTCCGGAAACAATACTACTTTCAGACTGTTGTAAAGATTCTTCCTACTGAGGAAAATTCTCAAGCTTTATCATCCACATACATGAAGCCATTTATCACAGTGTGAACACATGCAGTCGTGAACACACACACATTAGCGATTCTCTGTCCTACGTTGACACCTCTGGAGTGAACCAATCCTGTTTCCTCACACCTACTTATAAGGAATCCAAACTACTTGTAGTTCCAGTATTATGCACCTCTCTTCTCCATTTATTAGCTCACTAAATAATTAATAGCTAACCATGAAGCTGGCAGTGTTCCAGATCCTGGGAAGGATAGATTAAATCATGAGAGTGGCAGGCATATGGTCCCCAAATGGTGATTTCTCTCAAATGTCTCCTGTCTCCAGCTACATATGCTGTTCTGCATGAAATTATGGTCATGCAGCAAACATTCTTAACACATTTTCAAATATTTTTATTCTCTCCCCCGTTGGGCTGTGAAGAACGTCAAAGAAGATAAACTTGGGAGATACCTGAGATAGACACTATCTAGTTCAGTCCTCTCACAGACAGGAAAACATGGACCCAGATAAGTGAATTATTCATCCAAGGTAACTTACAATAAAACAGTATTTCTGGGGCACTGACCATATCAGGGATAAAATACTTGACTCATTCCAAATGAAGTCTTAAGAATCAAAATACAAACCAAAGGAATTTCTGAGAAACTGCTGTAGTTACTTCAGTAAAATATGGCATTACATTTGCAGAGCTCTCTAAATGTTTTTATTAAGGACACTTACCTAATTTACCCTCAGTGATCTTTTATGGATTCAGCCATGTCCCCCCAAATTAATGTGTTGGGCCCCCCAGTACCTCAAAATGTGACTCTATTTGGAATAGGGTTTTTGCAGATGTCATTAGTTAAGAGAAAGTCACAAGAAGCCCTAGTCCCTTTCTCCTTTCCTTATGCACCACATACTCCCTTTCCTTAAGTCTCTGGACACTGATAAGTTATGAGCTGGGCTTAGGGACAGGAAGAGGCCCTGCCCAGGCTTTGAAACTTAGTCATATGCTCACTCAATTTTACTAGAACTCTCTGCACTGGATTACCAGGCACAGGCATACTACAAAATACTATTGATTCTTTTTTGTCTTCTCCTTCAAGAACCTCAGCAGAATCGGGTCATCCATGGGCCAAAATCTTTTCATTATACCGCTTACCTTTATATGTTTGAACTTCACTCCCCGTGATTAGGATGGAATTTATAGAGGAAAGACGTTATCAGCTCTGCATACTTCACAGAAGTCAGCTAGAATCTCCTCCACCCTTTAGTTCCAGATAAGATCTAAATCAATCTTGCATGTCTGGTCTGGGGGAGTACAATGTCTTTTTGAGGATTTCTGTGAGATATATTTATGTTGTCTTACAATGACTTCAGCCTCGAAGCTCCCACATCTGGTGTATTAGCTGTATTTAGGCATCTTCCCGTCATTCTGGTACCTGTTGCTTTTGTTCTGTGTTTCATCAAGCCAGACACAAAACTTAGGACTTTCACTTTATTGCCACAATATAAGCCATTACCTGTGGCATTTTTGTACCTGCGGGAACACTTCACTGAAAAGGACAGGGTTTATGATGTCTGTAATAACTCCTGAAGATACTGGGAAGAAACTGGCTATGCTGGTCTGGGGCTGTGCATGAGCCTAACCGTGAGTTCACAGATGCCCCAAACTAGGCATCTAGGAGGCTTAACTGGCCCCAGGCTGGAGTTAAGCAGAGGGAGGAAGTATAACTGAAGGAAAAGGGAACATGAGATCTTGAAGTGGTTTAAGTGACAGATGTAGGGGGATTTGGGCTGTTGGTGAAATTGGGGATGGGGTGGTTAGAAATGGGGAGATTATATGGCCTCTAGTGCCACCTGTTGCCCAACTGAATGAAGAACTGCTGACTTACCAGTTTCTGGAGAACTATACACATGGAGATTAGAAGAAATGCCTGATTTTAGTGACGTTCCACAAAACAACACCTTCCTAAGGCTTAGCTAGGGGCAGGGCAAAAGATGGCAGTCAGTGGTTGAACTGCTGCTGTGTCCTGTGGAAAACCAGTTTGGAAGAAAGCCTCTAAGCCTGACACAGCTGCTTCCCCCTCTGTGAGCCCTAGAACCCGTGCTAATAGGCAGGCTGTGACAGAAAAAACAAGGTGCTTTTTAGAGCTCATATTTTACTATCTACGATTATTTGTATTTTTTCCTCTCAAGTGTGAGGACCTCTGTCACCCACGCTATCTGGTGGTAGTAATGACAAAGCTCTACGTTTCCTTTCATGTATTCTTATTATCTAGTGGAAGATCTATCTAGTAAATATAAATTTAAAACTCTTCAAAAGGTTGTATCAACACTTGCTTAATGTTTTTAAGAAAGAGCTCTAAGAAACTATAAAACCATTATTATCTCAAGCATTCTGTTTTTGTTTTTGTTTTGTCTTTTAAAGATTTTTATTTATTTGACACAGAGAGAGAGATCACAAGCAGGCAGAGAGACAGGCAGAGAGAGAGGGGGAAGCAGGCTCCTCGCTGAGCAGAGAGCCCGACTCGGGGCTCAATCCCAGGACCCTGAGATCATGACACGAGCCGAAGGCAGAGGCTCAACCCACTGAGCCACCCAGGCGCCCCACAAGAATTCTGTTTTTAATAGAAATTTTAAAACTGGGTGTCTATGGTTTGGAAGGGAAGGTGCCATTTAAAGCAAGTTTCCAGGTGTTCCGAGTTGTTCCATCAGACTGTTACAAAGGTACCATGGAACCCATAAGGCATTCGCACAGGCACTTCTGCTCGGCCCAGTTCTTCAAAGTTCTTGGCATCCAAAACTAGGAGAAAATTGTTTTCATTCTAGAACAGAGAGACAATACTGAAAATTCTTTTGATAGTGTCTTATGCCTCTTCCTCTGTATCCTCAGCACCTAACGCTGTGACTCGACCATCCATTCATTCACTAAATGTTTTCTGAATGGCCAGACAAGCCTCAGAAGGACATTATGGCGAAGAAGTTCATACTTAGAGTGAAGAAAGTAAGTTGTTTATATTAGTTACCTTCCTAGAATCTCTTGGAGTTTAAGGATCTTCTTACCTGCCCCTTTTCAATCTCCTAAGAGACACAGAAATTTTTTCTTCCAAATTAGAAATGCTTCCATTTTGTGTTACTTTGGAGCTGTACAAAGGGTAGCATTACAAGGCAGACTGATATTTGCCCTGGTGTAATTATAGGAGTGGCAAGTACATGGTATGAGGACAAAGTCCTCCTAAGCCCATGACAGATATTAGTAATCGATCATGGCACTTAGTCATCAAACCCTTAAAAAGCCTCAGAATGCTACACCCCAGGCAGCCACTAATAACTGGTACTCAACCAGCCACAAAGCTGGTACTCAACCTACTTGCCACAAGACTGCCTTCGACAAGAAGTTAAGACATCAATGACTGAGACACCAGGGCTCACCACATAAGACTTTTGGGGCACTCAGATGAAACTGGCAGCACAGACAGTGGCATGAACATCAGACTAGACATCAGAAGACTGAGATTTAAACACAGGCTTTACCATTATGAGATCTGACACCAGCTCTCCCAACTTCTCTAAGTTACAAATTCCACATCCATAAAATGGGATCTAACAAAGCTGTTCTGATGAGTAAATAAGGTGACATGTGTGAAAGTCGTCTGTAAATGAATTCCTGTGCAAATGTATATTATGAGGATGATTCTATAAATAGAACCTTAAATAATACGGCACAGATTATAATAAAAGAGTATGTACATATGAGGAGAGGAAGAAAAGGGAAAACATGCTGCATTGGAATAAAAAACTGACAGCATCACTGAATAAAATCCTCAGAAGGCTCATTGCTACCTCTTTGACTAGTGATGGGGAAACACATCTACCTGGTTGGGGGTGATCACCACAGAGAGAATAACCCCACCATCTTCTTCACTGGTTCCTGGTGCGGGAACAAACACAGGTTCCGATGGGTAAAAGCCATCTTCTCTCCAAATCTAGAAGTCCCCCCAAAAAAGTTTTTGATAGAAAGTTAATTATGAGCAAGACGGTTTCTATGGCTTTTGTCACTTCTAGCATGAATATGGGTCAGTACAATATTCTAACAGTTAGAGAATCAGGCTCACTGAATTGGGGGGTGGAGGGTGTTTTTGCAGCTGCAGACTCCATCACCACCAAACACAATTTGTGCAATTATAATTTCCCATAGACCTGAAATATAAGTGTCCCAATAACCTGAACCCCACGATTTCTCTAAAAATAACACCAAGCAGAGACTTGTTTTTCTGGGCTTGTGATTCATTTAAGATTCCCAAGACAGGGGGTGCCTGGGTGGCTCAGTGGGTTAAAGCCTCTGCCATCTGCTCAGGTCATGATCTCAGGGTCCTGGGATTGAGCCCCGCATCGGGCTCTCTGCTCAGCAGGGAGCCTGCTTCCTCCTCTCTCTCTGCCTGCCTCTCTGCCTACTTGTGATCTGTCAAATAAATAAATAAAATCTTAAAAAAAAAAAAAAAAGATTCCCAAGACAGCATATACCCCTTGCCTAGGTGATTCCATGGTTCTCAAACTTAATAAAAGTAAATGGCTGAGCTGCCTAAATATTAAAGAATCTCAAGAGCTACTTTAACAAAACAGAAACTAATTCAAACTGCAGAACAGGTCTTTTAAAAATTCAGAAAGGAAGGGGCACCTGGGGGGCTCAATCGGTTAAGGTCATGATCTCAGGGTCCTGGGTGGGGCTCTCTGCTCAGCAGGAGTCTCCTTTTCCCTCTCCCTCTCCTTCTCCCCCTCCCCAGCCCACTCATGCTCTCTCAGTCTCTCTCAAATAAATATTTTTTTAAAAAAGAGTTCAGAAAGGGAAAAAGATTTTCATTACCGTCAGTGTCTTATTCACCACATCAAGCTTGATCAGAGAATCCCCCACTAAATGCCGAAAGCCGCAGCCATAGAAGAAACGGTACTTTTTGCCACTGAATTGGCCATAGTTGATCTGGGGAAATTCAACACCTCCTTCCTCCTCTAGATCCTCAGGATGTAGATTTTCATAAGAGCACCAAATCTAAAAGGGGTCCCAAAAAGATTTGGAGTAATTGCTTACTTTCTCACTTATTTCATGCAGGGTAGGTCAATGAAGGTGCTGAGAGTTTGTGACAGGGCTTGGGAACTCAGACTCTAAATCATGTTTTTCCCACTGTTCCTCTTCCCATCACATGTATGAATGCATAAAAGACTATCAGGTTTTGGGGCACCTGGGTGGCTCAGTCAGTTAAGCATCCGACTCTTGATTTTGTCTCAGGTCATGATCTCAGCCTGATGAGCACCACGTCAGGCTCTGCAATGAGTGTGGAGCCTGCTTAAGATTCTCCCCAAGGGGAACCTCTTACACTGTTGGTGGAATGCAAACTGGTGCAACCACTCTAAGAAACAGTATGGCAGTTCCTCAAAAAGTTAAAAATAGAGCTTATACTATAACCCAGCAACTGTACTACTAGGTATTTATCCAAAGGATACAAACATAGTATGTACCCCTTCAAAGGGGTACATGCACTGCAATGTTTATAGCAACAATGTCCACAACAGCCAAACTATGGAAAGAGCCAAGATGTCCATCAACAGGTGAATGGATAAAGAAGAATGTGGTAAATGTCTGTGTGTGTGTGTGTGTGTGTGTGTATACAATGGAATATTACTTAGCCATCAAAAGAATGAAATCCTGCCATTACAATGATGCGGATGGAACTAGAGGGTATTAGGCTAAATGAAATAAGTCAGTCAGGGAAAGACAAATACTATATGATTTCACTCATATGTGGAATTTAAGAAACAAAACAGAGAGTCATAGGGCTTAGGAAAAATAAAATAAGATGAAATCAGAGAGGTAGACCAGCTATATGAGTCTCTTAACTATAGGGAACAAACTGAGGGTTGCTGGTAGGGAGGTGAGTTGGGGGGATGGAGTAACTGGGTGATGGACATGAAGGGGGGCACATGATGTAATGAGCACTGGGTGTTATATGCAATTGATAAATCCCTTTTCTTTATCTCTGAAACTAATATAGTATATGTTAACTAAAAAAAGAAAAAAGAAAAAGATTTCTATCCCTCTGCACCCCCCATTTGCCCACATGCACTCTCTTTCTCAAAAAAAAAAAAAAAAAGATCATCAGGTTTTGTGACTAAGCTGTCAGATGCCATACAAGGGGGAAGTGGACTTTTTATTCTACTAAAGCTGAAACACTGAGAGCTACACAGTAACATGTGTATGGTAAGTGCAAATTACCTAAAAGGTGAAGATAATCAATACCAATCTCAAATACTTAGACATGCCACAACATTAGAAAACTGCACCTATCTGTTTGAAAACCTAAAAAGGAAAGGTAAACACAGTGCTCCCTCCCACTGTGACCTTACCCCGTTCTTTCCCTGCAGTTCTTGTGACCTTACCCTGCTCAGCTGAATGGTTTCAGATTTACTGGGCACCAAACATTGTGGAGAACAGCCAAGGAATAAAGTAACATGACTAAAATTCAAAGTCCATCTAATGTCTTTCAAAGCCTACCTTTCCATCAGCTTGTTTCACAGCACTAGCTGAAGAATAGGACAATGGGCTGAGGTTCTCTCCTTCAGGGTCATTCAAACTGACATGTAAGGGCAAAACAAACCTCCGAGGGAAAGATCTGCCTACTGAATTATAGACCTGTTTAGGAGAGACAAAGAAATAGATGAGAAAATGTCATTCATGGGATAACAGCATGTCCCAATAATTTATACCAGTCAACTTTCTTGGCATTCCTAAGTAATTGCATAAGTGACAAACTTTCATTTATTCATTTATTCCACAAATATCTGTTGAGTACCTACGATAGGCAAAGCACCATTTTAGACTCTGGGAATGCAACAGTGAACAAAGTCTTTGGCTTCATGGAACTCACATTCTAGTGGAGAATAGATGATAATAAGTAAAAATTAAAATACATATTATTGAATTAGTGTCAAATAAACAAATGATTACATAGCCCAAGGTCTGACAGTAATAAGTACCAGTAAGAAACATACTGCAGGGTGAGAGCCTACAGAGTAACAGAGTGCTTCCCTCTTCATGTTTAGTCATAATATATCTCTGCATGGAAAATCATCAACTTAGTAGGACTGGGTTGCTAAAATGTGGCACATTCTCAAGAAAGGTCTATTTTCACGATTGGTCCTTGGCTGACACCTGAGAACTGAGCCCTTGGAATGTTCTGTCTCCCAAGAGTGGTTTTGCATGCCTGAGGTCTTGAGTCACACTGTACTAGTTTGTCCAGACAGTTTATAATAATAGTGTGATTTATAAGGAACACTGCTGGCCTGTGGGCGTATGGAGCTTTGATAACTGAGGGTGTGTATATGGAGCTTTGATAACTGAGGGTGTGTAGGGGCTTTGTGCCCCTATGCTGATCCCCAACAAAACCCTGGACAATCAGCTTCCCTGGCACGCAACATTTCACACAGGAGAGAAATCGGGCGTGTCCTGTGAGACTCCACTGGAAAGGACTTGGAAGGGCGTACTGGGCGGTTTTCTCTAGACTTCATCCCATGCACCTTTCATTTGCTGCTTTTTCTAAGCCTGTGAACCATCCTAGTGAATCATCAAACCAAAGGTGGCTCTGAGGACCCCCAGCACAACCGTCCTGCAGAGCTCATGTTTAAATAGGAGACTCTCATAAAATAAGTGTTTGTTTTGTTTTGTTTTCTGACATTGAGAATGCTTTACACATGTTTTCCTCTCTTGAAATACTGTAAGATGAGGGCAAACTGTGCCATTTCCCCTCACACACCTGGTCCCTATCATCTCCATCTCACACAGAAGCATTCCTACCGAGTAAAGATTTAGTGTTATTTTTTTTAAGATTTTATTTATTTATTTGATAGAGATCACAAGTAGGCAGAGAAGCAGGCAGAGGAAGAGAAGGGGGAGGAAACAGGCTCCCTGCTGAGCAGAGCACCTGATGCGGGGCTCGATCCCAGGACCCTGAGATCGTGACCTGAGTTGAAGTCAGAGGCTTAGCCCACTAAGCCACCCAGGCGCCCAGATTTAGTGCTATTTTTAAGCTTCACAAAGAGTTAGAGTTTTTAAAATTAATTTTAAATTTATTTAATTTTTTTTTCTTTTGTAAAACCATAGCTGAACAAAAAGAGACTGCCAATAATGGTGAATTAGGTAATGTGGATCAACTATCCCACTGAGAATAGCTAAAGAAGCAGAACAAATGTTTAGAACAGCTGTGCAAAGGCACTGGTGAGCTAAAAAGGCAGTGAAGATTATCAGTAGGGCAGAGATTTGGAGGGAGAAGGAAAACAACAGGTAAACAAGATACTGGGGGAAATTTGTTCCCTCAGGATATCAGCTGCTTCCAGGAAAAGGCAGCTGAAAGGTTGAGAAAATGAAAGAATTTTTTAATTAAACTTTTTAATCTTCAGATCACTGCAGATTGGCATGAAATAATACAGAAAAATAAACAATTGATTTAAAAATGGGCAAGAAACTAGAAGAAACATTTCGCCAAAAATATACAAATGGCCAATAGGTACATGAAAAGATGCTAAACATCATTAGTCCTTAGAGAAATACAAATCAAAACCACAACGAGGGCACCTGGGTGGCTCAGTTGGTTAAGCAACTGCCTTCGACTCACGTCATGATCCTGGAGTCCTGGGATCGAGTCCCGCTTTGGGCTCCCTGCTCAGCGGGGAGTCTGCTTCTCCCACTGACCTTTCTCCACTCATGCTCTCTTTCTCTCTCAAATAAATAAATAAATAATCTTAAATAAATAAATAACCACGAGATACTACTTCACCCTCACTAGGGCGGCTATTGTCAAAAACAAAACAAAACAAAAACAGAATCGAAAACAAAAATGACAAGGGCTGGTAAATAAGACTGTGAAGAAACTGGACCCCTGTGCAAGGCGTAGCTGCTGTGGACAATAGTCTGCAGTTCCTCAAAACAGTTAGATATAGAATTATCATAGGATCCAGCAACTCCACTTCAGGTATACAAAAAGAATTCAAAACAGGGACTCGAATAGATATTTGTATGCCAACGTTCATAACAGCATTATTCACAATAGTCAAAAGGTAAAAAAACAACCCAAATGTCGACTAACAGATGAATAAAGAAAATGTAATACAGATATACAAGGAAATACTTAACTTTTAACAGGAATGAGATTCTGATACATATTACAACATGGATGACGCTTGAAAGGATTAGACTAAATAAAATAAGCCAACACACAAAAAATAAATCTTGTCTGATTCCATTCATATTAGGTACCCAGAGTAGGCAAATGCATAGAAACAGAAAGTAGAATAGAGGTTCCCAAAGTCTGGAGAGAGGAAGGAATAGAGACTTATTATTTAATGGGTAGAGTTTCTGTTAGAGATGATGAAAAAGTCTGGAAATGGACAGTGGGTACGGCTGCACAATACTGTTCATGTACAAATGCCATGGAACACCTAAAAATTGGTTGAAATGGTAATTTTTATGTTATGCATATTTTGTCATATAAAAAAGAAATAATGGGGTGCCTGGGTGGTTCAGTGGGTTAAAGCCTCTGCCTTCGGCTCATGATCTCAGGGTCCTGGGATCTAGCCCCGCATCGGGCTCTCTGCTCAGCGGGGAGCCTGCTTCCCCCTCTCTCTGCCTGCCTCTCTGCCTACTTGTGATCTGTCTGTCAAATAAATAAATAAATAAAATCTTAAAAAAAAAAAAAGAAAGAAGAAATAATGCAGAGGGATCACATGTATCCTTCATCCAAATTCACCAATGATAATATCTTGCATAACTACAGTACAATATCACAACTGGAAAATTTACATTGATATAATCCACCAATTTTATTCAGATTTCACCAGTTCAACACACACTCATGTGTGTGTGTGTGTGTGTGTGTATTTAGTTCCATGCAATTTTATCATGTAAATGCATGTGATCACCACCACCCTCAAGATATAAAATCACCACCAAGATCCTTCATGCTACCTATTTTTAAAGATAATTTTTAAAGATAACTCCCCTACCACTTGACCCCAGTAGGTAGAGATTTTGATACTTTTGGCGAACTAGAGGGACAAAAGGAAGAGTTCAATGACTGCCAAAAAGGAGAAGCCCTGATAAACCCCTAGTTCTTTGGGTCAGTACCCCTTAAGTCAGCACCTAAGAGTAAGAATAAACAAGGAATAGTCCATCTCTTTCAGGGACTATATCCTGCTTCACAATATTTCAATCCATGTAACTACATTGAAGACTATCTGGAACTCATCATTAACTCTAGCAATCTGCCAGAAGCAAATAAAATTTTCTCTGGAGGAACATAATACCATCCTGGATCTCAAAATATCTCTACAATTTTTCAAACACAATATTCTGTATGTAATAAAAATAAGCGAGCACATGAAAAGACAAGAGAGCATGATAAAAAAATAAAACAAAACAAGATAACAAACAACAGAAACAAAGCCACAAGGGATCCAGATAATAGAAGCTATCAGACTTTTCTGATAGTATTCTGAATATGTTGGAGGAAATCCTCTTAAACTGAGCATGTAGCAGAGAACTAGAAATTATAAAAGAGAACCAAATTAAAATTCTAGAACTGAAAAATGCAAAGTGTTTATTTAAGAACTTAGTAGCAGGGTTTAATAGCAGAAAAGACAAAGCTGAAGAAAGAATGAACTGTAAGATAGGTAAGAAAATATCCAAAACGAGATGCCTAGAGAGACACAAGGATGGTAAATACTAAACAGAACATAAGCAACAGATGGACAGAGTGAAAAGGAGTGACATATGTATACTGTAGTCCCAGGCAGAAGAGAAAGGATTTCCCAAATGTAATATCTGAAGAAATAATAGGTGACTTTTTAAAAACGAATGAGAGACATCAAACCATAGATTCAAGTATTCCTAAAAACATGCACATAAAATAAACAAAAAGAAAGCCATATTGAGAGATACCATAGGACTAACTACAGAAAATCAAAGAGAAGATTTTAAAATCAGAGGAGGAAAAATGATCAACTTCAAAGGAGCAAAGCTTAGACTGACTACTAATTTCTCAATAGAAATCAGAATACAATCAAATATCTTTAAGTGTCAAAAGAAAATAACTAACAACTTAAAATTCTTTATCCAACGAAAACATCCTTCAAGAAAGAAGGTAAAATAAAGACTTTTTTAACAGGCAAAAATATAGATTTCATCAGCAGCGTATCTGAACTAAAGGAAATACTAAAAAATATTCTTCTGTCAGGAAGAAAATGATTCCACATGGAAGCTCACAAGACAGGGAAGAATTAAGAGCAATTGAAAGGTACAGATGTGGGTAAATGGGTAGTATGGGGAACCATGATCACATAAAGCAAGACTGCCTTTGCAGGGTTTAATAGAGAGAAAAATAAAATATACAACAACAGTAGTGTATAAATTGGGAATATGGCAGAGGTACAGGGTCCAGAGTTCTTGGATTGTCTGCAATCCATCTCTTGGTTTTCTTTACTATACTTTTTATTTATTAGGTATTAAGTAAGTACTTCAAATTATTTTTAAGTGTTAAATAAGTAAACAATAAAGCTGTGTCTTCAATGCTTCAAAACCATTCTCCTTATCTGCCAAAGAAGCAAGAGAAACAGCTAATTCCAAAGCCAACCAGAACCTGACAAATCAGAGATGTTTACCTGATCAAGCCCTGCCCCAGCTTTCCTGAGATTCTGTAGTTGGTAAGCTTCCAGGCTTCTTCCATCATCTTGACAGCACAAATCAAGTACAACACAGCCCTGGTCCTCAAAGGCATTGATTTGATGAAAAGTAACAAAAGGTTTACTGTAGTACATTCCTGGAAGCAGCTGCAGGGGAAAATACAGTGAAAAAGATATATATTTTATTTTATTTTATTTTATTTTATTTTATTTTATTTTTATTTTTAGGGCACAGATCCACAAAGTTTAAATTAAAAAGTTCCCTCCTCTTTAAATGACAGGCCTAGTAAGTGTAAAAAGTAGAATTTGGAATGTAGAAAGACATTTTGATTTAAGCATCCTTGTTTAGCTGTCACGTCGCCTATTAAACAATGAACTGGGCTATCTGATGCAAACCAATCAACGGTTACAACAAACTTAAAAGTCCTGATGAAGTATGGCCCAATGTTTTGAGGGATAAATAAATCCTGGAGTCTATCTTATATGATTAAATAGAAAATACTGCTACTACTTAGCTTATGATAAACGCTTTGAAAAAATGCACTCATTACCAAAAATAGGACTGTTGTAATGAAATTAGGGTACAGTAAATTTAGGATATTATCTCTTTAAAAAGACTAAAAGAAGACAAATATAATAGAACTACTAACCAGAAGTATAGAAAGGCATTTAACCAACACGTCTTGGACTTTGGTAGGATTATCACATTTACATATCAAGAAGCCACAGAAGTAAGCAATTAAAGTAATAGTGCAAAAGTTATAGGACCTCTGCATGAACAACATTCTCCTTAGCAAATACTACGATATGGAAAAATCCATGCTAAAATGCGAAGGTTTCCTACATGCCACTTTAGTTAAGGCAGATAATTAAAAGTGTAAAACTATTTCTTACAACTTTCTAATATGCAGAACTCACTGTATTAACTAATAAGTGAGCTAGCCATACCTACTCTACGGAAGAAGGTAGTATCCTTGATTAAGAGAGTCTTGCACAAGCAATGCCCAGGGAAGGTAAAAACCACAGGAAAATGTGTCTTTATGTCCAATCATTTTCATGATGAATATACTCAAAATACTCCACCTGTCCAGTGTTCTTATCCACCACATGAAACCGTGTGTTATACTGGGGTTCCCAGCTTATTCCATCTGAAAAGGCCTTTCCCCGAATTCTAGAAGTGATCATTTTCCACAGATTCATCTTTAGAGGCTGTTCAATGAAGATTATATAGTTCCTTGTCATTCCTAAAAGGTTCCAGCAAATAATAAAATGTTATCTGGCAATTAAGGGTTCTGTGAAATGTGACAGTTACGGGGACTTATCTGAATGTCTGGACATAGTACTGCTGACCTAAGCAAAAGCCAGCCAGAAATAATCCTTCGCTATTTCCCAGCTTTGCTTTACATATTTCCTGTTCCTACATTAAAAAGGGAACTGTTTAGAACAGCTTGGGGTGAATGCCCTCAGCTTGCTTTTTATGTTTCTTTTCTTTTCAAATTATTTTGGAACAAAGTAAAGAAGCATAATATTAAAGCGTCATTTGCAATCGAGGTGTTTATTCTGTATTCCATTTGCTATTTATACTGAAGGTAAGGATTCAGGAGGAGATTGGCTATAAAAGTTTAGAATGTAGAAAATAAATATTCCAAGAAAGAGCTAAAGCAATGGAACAGAATAAAAATTTCTCCCAAGAAATATAATCAAGACTTTTTCATGGATGATTATTACCTGTGGCTTAAAGTTACCTAAATTTTGAATTCTGTCCATTTTTTACGGTCAAATGATTTTTTTAAATTAAGACTTTACCTTTTTTAGAGTAGTTTTAGTTTTGTAACAAAATTAAAGGGAAGGTACAGAGGCTTGTCATATACCCTCTGTCCCCAGACATGCAGAGCCTCCCTATTATGACACCCCCAACCAGAATGGTTGGTACATTTGCTACACCTGATGAACCCATAAGGACACATCAGAAGCACTCAAAGTCCATAGTTTACATTATGGTTCACTCTTGATGTTGTCAATTTTTAAATAATTGCTAGTACTAAAATAAATATGTCTTTTTAAGCAGTCACTTGCCCAGGATAAGAAGTATGCGACTAAACAGAATAAACTTCACTGGCATTAAAATGCAGCCTTGGTCTCATTATCAGCATACTTTGAGAAGCCGTATAGACATAGTATTTGCCCAAAACAGTTCTTCTGCTACACCGACATTAAGGCAGATGCCACTGTAATTTACCTTATCTCTGGCCTTACCAAAGCTATGGTAGTAAGAAGGTTTCATCCTCTCTGCAGAGGCAATAGAGCATATCACCTGGGCTCCGTGGATTGTTTCCCCAAGATCCACCTTCTCTGGAGGAACCCGAATAACATTATAGCAAGAACCTGGAAAACAGAGTCCTGTCTTGTTTTACACACATTCTAGAATAAAAGACAACCCTCGCGCTCATGGACTACACAAAAGCAGTTAAGAGATTTATACAACATATGCCTGATATCCATATTTCATAAAAGGTTATTTCAAACAAAGTCTTGGATTAAAAACAATACTAATTTTATGAAAGTCACATCAGGGGATGTTTTAAAGCAATACACACCAAGTAATCAACCAACAGTTTATTGCATTTTTTTTCATGATTAGTAGTGACGTTTATTGCATTTTAATGCTCTCAAAAGGTTACCCTCTCACTCCCTGAAGATGAACTCATTCTCTACAGCAAAAGATTAGGTACCAGCCAGGAATCCTCAAATTCTACTTGTCCCCTCCCCACTCCCACATCGCTACAACTACAGTCTCCATGTGCCCCCACACCCCCTTCTTCTCTCCAGTCCTCTGGATCCCTGGGATCTCTCCAAGTCCTGTCTCATGCTTTCTCATCAATGCATTCATGCAATCACCTTCATTCATGTAATCGTTCATCTTACTGCTTCATCAAGAATCAGCTCAGGCAACCACTCCTCAAGCAGCACTCCGAGTCTTCTGCACCCCAAAGGTATTTGGTGCCCCTCCTCTATGCCCTGATTATATCCTATATAGCTACAGTACTTATCTTACTGAACTATAATTTTGTGCTTGTTTATCTCCTTTCCAGTACACTGGTGAGTTCTTCAAGGGCAGAAACGGATTCCTCTTTACAACCTCAGTACCAAGCAAGGACTTAGCATTCAATAGGCACAGTACAAATAGCTATTGACAGGTTAATTAACAACATTTTTTAAAGTAATTCAATGAATAAACAAATACTGAGATCACCTCAAATTATATTTCTAGTATTAAAATTGCCAATGCTGGTCCTGAAAAACTGGATCGATAGCCTACAGAAATTTGCAATCACTGAGCTTCTTTTGGAACAAAATAACCATACAGTTCTCTACTCATTTGTTCAGCAACAACTTATTGAGTGCCAACTACATTCCAGGCATTTTTATGAGTGTCCTAAGTTTATCTTCCAGACAATTCTATACAGCAGTGTGCAAATATACAAAAGGCTCTTCTCTGATGAAGCCCAAATAAAGCATTCATAAGTAAAAATATAAAGTATGAGATGATGATAAGAACTACAAAGAAAAATGAAACAGGGAACTGGGATTAGGAGTAAGATGGAGGCCACTCTTTGCAATTTTCGATATGGTGATCTGAGAAGGCTTCACCAAGAAGGTGACATTTGAGGAAAGACCAGGAGGAGGTGAGAAAGAGAGCCTTGAGGACACCTGGAGAATCACATTCCAGGCAGAGAGAAGAGTAAATGCAAAGATTCTCAGCCAAGAGTAAGTCTGGAGTGTTCAAATAACAGTAGGGAGGCCAGTGTGGCCCTGTTATAGTAAACAAGGAGAAGAATCTAAGGAGACAAGGTGGGTGGGTTAAAAGGATAACTAGCTGATACGTTAAGCATGAGCTGACGCAGGACAGAAGCACGGAGACCCGTTAAGAAGCTATTACAACAATTCACATGAGAGAGGATGGTGGGCTCACACCAGAGTGCCAGCAGCAGAGGTCATATGAAGTGGTTGGATTTTTTATTTATTTTGAAGGCACTGCTGCAATTGCTTTTTGACTAACTAGATACAGATGTGAGAGAGACAGGTGGGAAGGATGATTCCAAAATTATCCTGAGCAACTGGAAGGATGAAAAATCAACTGAGATGGGGAATACTTTAAGCAGAAAAAAATCTAGGGAACAATTTCAGAAGTTTGGTTTTTAGATAAATTAATTTTGTAATGCCTATTAGACATCTTGTTAAAAACACCAAGTAAGCAACTGGATATAAAATACTGGAGAGGTGTGAGTTGGGGATATGGATGTGTTCTGAGCACTCATGATATATAAACAGTGATGAGTTATAAAAGTGATAAAAGACAAGCTCTACAGTTCAAGAGTATCATATTACCATCTAACTGATTACATATATTTAATTAGTACTAAAAACTAGCTGAATTGATTAATGTTCAGAGGATTTTTGTTCATTTTTAAAAGTCCTTTAAAAATATATGGAAAGGCTAAAACAATTAAAAGCTTTTTACTTCTTAACCATAGAAATCACTGGCAAGCACTTTACTATGAGAATAACTACATTTCCTCCAAATACAACTTAGGTATTGAAGTTCCCAGCAGCTACATGTACATTTGAGTTCCAGTTCAAAAACTCCTCACTGGACTAAATCATCAAGTAAAAAGGAGGAGGAGGAGAGGGAAGAGGAAAGAAAATTCAGTTTCAGTTAAGGTTAGGAGATGATAGAAGAGCTGCCCATCTCAGAAGCTGGATTAAGTGACAAGACTCAATTCACTAAATTTAACCACTCTTAGTTAATGAACTGTTCTAACCACAAGTTGTGAAGCCCTAAGCAAGGCAGACAGATACCCAGGAAACATCCTCCGCAAAGGAAAGCCCAGAAAAATTACCTCCCCAATACCGTGAGTCTAACTCTGGAAGACTCTTCAGGACTTTGTGTAATAGCAAATTGAGGCAAATTAACAAGACAGCCTCTGATGACTGGGGGCAGGGTTTCTCAAAGATCCAGGAGTCACTTACACCAAAATCACCTGAGACCTTGTTCACAGGCGCCAAGATTAGGCATAAGGGGGTGGTTAAAATGCAGATTCTTGGCCCCATTTCAGGTCTACTGAACCAAAATCTCTGAAGATAAAGCCCAGTAATCTATATTGCTAGAAGTGTTCCAGAACATTCTTAGCCACACTAAAGGCTAAGAACCGCTGGTCTCATGACTACTTATTTTAGAATATGTAATTCAGAATGGTCAGTTTTTATCATATTATGAACTAGTTACAAAGTTATCTACTTGATTAATAGAGTCAATTTATTATGAAATATATTTTTTGTCAACCATATTAACAAGTAAATAGTTTTTAAAAAGATAGGTACACCTACTCAGGAGAATTCTATGCAGCCGGTTCGGCAAAATGTTTCTTGACACAAGAAATAATTAACTATAGTATCTTAATACGTTGCTAAGGGAAGAAAAAACAGACCAAAAAAGTATAGAGACCAGACACAATTTTAAAAAGGAATCTTTTTTTAATGATCAAAATAGATGGATGGACAAAAAAGAACTGCTGAGTCAGTTTACCCATTTGCTGAAACATTTTACATAAAAGGGTGTTTGCTGTGTACTATAACAGCTTTGAAGGATAAAACCCTATCCTAGATCAGGTAAGAAAGATGAGAGAGAAACCTGAGTGACGATGTTTCAGGGTACCTTGAGCCAGTAAAAAACAAACCTGCAGTATTCATTATAACATTCATCACATGTGTAAATACGAGAGGTAGAGACCAACAACCTGCAGAAAGCCAACACTCTCTCACCAAAACTATAAATTAACCTACACAAAAGTTAAACTCTACAGAGGTTTCACAGGTTATAGATGATAGATTGACAGCTAAGACAGATAGAAGTATCTAACACCTACCCATTTCTCTTTTGTTTTTTCAAGATTTTATTTATTTATTTGAGAGAGAGAGTGAGAGAGAGCATGGGAAGGAAGAGGGTCAGAGGGAGAAGACTTCTCACTGAGCAGGGAGCTTGATGCAGGACTTGATCCTAAGACTCTGGGATCATGACCTCTGAGCCGAAGGCAGTTGCTCAGCCAACTGAGCACCCAGGCACCTGACCCATTTCTTTTCAAACAGAGAGACTCGTACTCAGGTTACAGGAACATGAATTTGCATGCTCTGAGAGTCTAATGTACTCATTAATGAGTAATTACTAAGATTGTCTATCAAAGTGACTTTGGGTGTGATTCAGGCTCAAGATTCATCTTACACACTTAGAAGCTTGCCTAAGCAAGTATCCTAAAACTTCTCAAGATTTACTGCCATTGTCTATATAACAGGGGCAATAATAGTACCTTTCTCGGAGAGTTGTTATAAGGATTAAATGACAAGATATACGGAAAAATGCTTAACACCAATGTACACTAGATATTCACACTCAATAAATGTTAGCTATCATTATTAGCTATTAGAACTTTCTGGGGCAGATTGGTAGGCAACTGGAAAATATGTGGATGAGGAGGAAAGAGATGTGATATAAACAGTTGGAAATGCAACCACACTATAACCTTAACCTACTCCATAGTGTGTTACTCTCATGATAAAAATAAATTCCTTCCCATGTAATAAACAATGTACCTTCCCCATATCTCTTTGCTGCAGCATTCTATATTTTTTTGTACTTACAATAGGATTCTTTTAAGAAATTCAAGTTTGAGAAATACATACTGGAAATCCCTACAATGCCTGTGAGATGAAAAGCACAATAGAACATATAAACGTAAGTCCTGCTGAAAAGGTCAAACAGCAAATCAGTTGCTAAGCTTATGTGCACAAGGACCACAGAACACAATAAATTATAGACTTTAAACTCAGTTATACCAGTTTGGAGATTTCTTTCTGAACCTTTCAAACTAAGTTCCTATGGGCTTACAGATTTAACCATAATGAAACCCTGGGAAGATAGTTGACTTCTAATTATTTTTAAAAAGGCCTCTGTTCCAACTTTACCATGCAGCCCATACGAGTTCCCCATATTGTATGCTGTTCCATCTGGGTCATAATGAGGATGTGCAGTTGCTCCATTCACAGCAATAAATTTGCTCCAGTCTACCTGCAAATTTAAGACCATCAAGACTTTTAAATGTTACATAAGCAGATCTCTACTTAGACCCATAGGCATTAGGAATGTGCCAAATATTTTAAAAATGGAATAGGAAAACTATAATTTAATCCCTAATATCTCACCTTTTTGATTTTGAAAAATCAAAATTATTTTTCCTATTAAAGAAACTAAGTAATAAACAAACAAAAAAACTCCACCGCCAACAACAAATGGACAAAAAAGATTATCCAATATGGATTTTTTCATCACGATCATAGGAAAGTATAAAAAATAAGAATTAGGGGCACCTGGGTGGCTCAGTGGGTTAAAGCCTCTGCTTTCAGCTCAGGTCATGATCCCAGGCTCCTGGGATCAAGCCCCGAATAGGGCTCTCCTCCTCGCTCTCCCTGCCTGCCTCTCTTGCCTACTTGTAATCTCTGCTTGTCAAATAAATAAATAAAATCTTTTTTAAAAAATTAAAAAATAAGAATTAACACAGACCTGTACCCCTGGGGCTAATAATACATTATATGATTATAAAAAATTAAAAATATATATATAAAATGAAAAAAAATTGAAGATCTCTATGAACCATGGGAAAAAAAAGAATTAAAATTAAAATTCTGGTCCAAATTTTATTTACCTCTTTTTTTTTTAAAAAATTTTATTTATTTACTTGTCAGAGAGCGAGAGAGAGAGAGCACAAGCAGGCAGAGTGGCAGGCAGAGATAGAGAGAGAAGTAGGCTTCCACTGAGCAAGGAACTTGATGCGGAACTTGATCCCAGGACCCTAGGATCATGATCTAAGCCAAAGGCAGCGGCTTAATCAACTGAGCCACCCAGGTGTCCCCAGAATTTTATTTACTTTTAATTAAAGTGTTAAGTGAATGTAGCATGGGTCTAGACAATCTCTAGTCCAATTCTACCTATACCTAGGAAAAACATGAAATGGCCAGAGTAAATATGTACTATTCTATCTCTCCTTTACCATAGCCTTCAGATATTAGGATTAAGGAAGTAGTAGTCCAGAATTGTCTCTCTTTTTAAAAGAATTTATTTATTTTTGTGGGGGGAGGCAGAGGGAGAAAAAGAGAATCCTGAAGCAGACTCCCTACTGAGCACGAAGACATACACGGGGCAGGAAGAGCCAGCCACTTAACTGCCTGAGCCACCCAGGCGCCCCTTCAATTTCTTCTTCAGATATATACTACTCTAAAAAGCATTCTGAAAGAAAAGAAATTTTAGGGTCTATTTTATTCATTTTTTTAGTCTTTATTTTACCTTTTCTGTTTTTTCCAGAGTTTCAATGTCCACTTTATTCATAAAGTTGGTCTCAGTGCTAACATAGTAGTCACCCTTGTACCGCACATAGTTGACACTGGTATTGTCAGTTATTGCTGAAACCAAACCCCAGAGTTAAACACCACAAGGCACTGTAGCACACAATCAAAGCAACAACACAGTTTAAATATCCTCTCATACAAAAAAAAAAAAATCTACTTCAATGTATGTATTTATATCGATTGAAGCAAATCATAACTAAATAATCATCATTATCACCCACAAATTCTGGGTATGGTAAAGGCTGCTTACCAGGCGGCTCAAACTTTGACATGAAACGTTCAAAAACATTCTTGCACGGATCAGGGAGAGCCAGCGTGCCAAATTCTGAGATCACAATTCGGTCATGAACACTATTGGTCTTATATGTATCACTCTGCAGGAACTTGCTTCTGTAGGTCACCATGCCCTTCTCCATCTTGAACTGGTGAAGCAAAGCCATTCCATCAAACCAGTGATTGTACCTTCAAACAGGAGCAAAAGGAGAAAAACAAATATCAGTAAGAAAAACAAATATCAGTAAGAAAAACACAGGCGCCTGGGTGGCTCAGTGGGTTAAAGCCTCTGCCTTCGGCTCAGGTCAAGATCCCAGGGTCCTGGGATCGAGCACCACATTGGGCTCTCTGCTTGGCAGGGAGCCTGCTTCCTCCTCTCTCTCTGCCTGCCTCTCTGCCTACTTGTGATCTCTGTCTGTCAAATAAATTAATAAAATCTTAAAAAAAAAAAGAAAAGAAAAACACAGGGAAAAAATGAGAGCCTTCAAATATAGAAATAAGGATTTGGAATGGGTTCCCAGCACAACGTGATTATTCAGAAAATTTGAAATTAAGGCATGATACCTTTTGTGTATATCCTGGAGTACAATGGAAAAGAGCAACCTACATGCTCCTGACCCCTACCCTGTCAAAAAATTCACACTTAGGGGGTGCCTGGGTGGCTCAGTGGGTTAAGCCTCTGCCTTTGGCTCAGATCATGATCTCAGGGTCCTGAGATTGAGCCCCACATCGGGCTCTCTGCTCAGCGGGGAGCCTGCCTCCCTCTCTCTCTGCCTGCCTCTCCGCCTATTTGTGATCTCTCTCTCTGTCAAATAAATAAATAAAATCTTTAAAAAAAAATTCACACTTAGAAGGTTAAAAAAACCTCCAAATTGGTGATACCTAAGATAATTCTGATTTTTACCCTATAGCCAAGAGAATAATGTGCAAGGATATGGAATATTTGACATTTTCTCAATTCAAATGGGTCCTAAGCTTTTAGAAATAGTTATCTTCATATCTTATATTTTCCCTTTAAAATGTTTCAATTTATCAGAATTATGCTAAAGTAATCAAGATGACTGTCCTTACGGGATAATCATTTTTGTACATATGATTACAGTAGAAATGATCTACTGAAATGCCAGAATATCAAAAAACTACAGGGAAAAGTTGGTGGCTTTGCTTTTTAAAGGGTTTCACATTATACAGTCTTTTCATTCATGTGCCTGACAGACTTCAGCACAGATAAGTAAGGCTAACAACACTGCCTTAAGGCAATGGTCCCAAAAGCAGGGAATCAGAGATATTCATATACACCCCTGTTTATGGCACCATTATTTACAATAACCAAAAAATAAGCAATCCAGTGCCCATAAAAAAGGAAGGAAATTCTGTCACGTGTTACAAGAGAAGAATTTTGAGGACAGTTTTATAAATGAAATAATCCAGTCTCTCTCTCTCTCTCTCTCTCTCTCTCTCTCTCACACACACACACACACACACACACACACACACAAAGGTATAGTTTTGGTTTTGCAGGAAGAAAACGTTCTGAAGATCTTTTTCACTATGTGAATAAACTTAACACTAATCTTTACCCCTAAAAATGGCTAAGATAGTAAATTTTATGTTATATGATTTTTAAAAAAGATTTTATTTATATATTGGGGGGGGTAGCATGAGTGGTGTGAGGAGCAGAGGGAGAGAAAGAAGCAGGCTATGCTGAACACAGAGCCCAAAGCAGGGCTCGGTACCAGGGCCCTGAGATCATGACCTGAACCAAAACCAGATGCTTAACTGACTGAAAAAAGTTATGTTTTTATAACAATAAAAAGAAAATGCAGGAAATAAAGTATATTTCAAAAAAAAAAAGACTTATTACTCAGTGATTTGAGATGCCATCTTTATTACTACCTAATTTCCATTCGTTCTTGGGTTTCTTCCATGGCTTTCTATTCTATTTCACTTATTTACTCATGCACTGAATAATGTGTTAATCATTGATGCTTTATAGTATTCTTTTTAAGATTTATGTATTTATTTGAGAGACAGAAAGAGAGAGAGCGTGAACAGGAGGGGCAGTGGGAGAGTGAGATCTCAAGCAGGCTCCGTGCTGGGCATGGAGCCCAATGCAAGGCTTGATCTCATTACCCTGAGATCATGACCTGAGCTGAAATCAAGAGTCAGATACACACCTGATTGTGCCACCCAGGCACCTTATAGTATATTTTAATGTCTGGAAGGGCTAGTCCCTTCCGGAAAAATCTTTTTTAGTGTTTTCTTGACCATTCTTGCATATTTATTTTTCCATGTAAACTTTATATTGATTTGTCTAACTTCCTGTAAAAACTTGTTAGAATTCGTATTAAGATTGTATTAAATTTTAAAATTACTTAGGAAGTACTGATTTCTTTCTGTTGTTGAATTATCCTACTCAAGAGCACAGGATGACTTTTCATTTGTTTAATCATGTCTTTCAGGAGTGTTTTAAAGTTTGCACATTTCTTGTTCAGTTCCTAAATATTTAATCTTCTTTGTTGCTACTGTAAAGGGTTTTTTCCACCATTATGTTCCCTAACTGGTTATTGTTGGTGTATATAAAGGCTATTGATTTTGGTAGGTTAATTTTACACCCTATTACCTTACCTTTTATTGTCTGAGTTAGTCATGTCATTGATTCTGTGTGGTTTTCCAGGTTTACTAAGATATCATCTGCAAACCGAGATAGTTTTACTCTACTAATCCTTGTGCCTCTAATCAATCCCTTTAGTCTAACTGTATGGTTACATCTGGTTGAAAAGCAGTGGAACAGTGGTTATTTTCTCCTTGTTCCTGTATTAAAGAAAATACTTGTAGTCATTCCCTAATATTACTGGTTTTAAGACTAAGATGAAAATACATTATGTGTATAGATATACATACACCTACATAAAAACACAACATGTGTATATATATATACACGTACACACATATTTTATATACATACATCGTATATACATGTTATATATACATACATTTATGTGTGTATACATATACATATATACTTATATGTGTATAAGTGTGTGTGTATGTGTATATATATATAAAATCATGTTAAGAAAGTATCCATCAAGTCCTATTTTCTTGAATATTTTCACGAAGAATGGATGTTGAATTCTGACAAAAGTTTTGTCAACATTTATGGAGATAATCCTATGATTATTTATTCTAAACCCTACTAATATGGTATATGATATTAATGGATTTCCAAATAATGCACTTACTTTGACTTATCATAGTGAATTATATTTTTACATAGTGTTGGATTCTATTTGTTAATACAATATTTATTTGTCTTATATTAGCACTATATATTTTTTCATGGATATTTATAAACATTATGAATAAGTAATAGTTTTCTGTACTGTATCATGTGGAGATAGTCAATATTATACCTGTTTCATAAAAAGAAGTGGAAAGTTTCCCTTCATTTTCAACTCTCTTTAATAATGTATAGAGCATTGGGACTATTTGATATTGGAAGGCTTGGTAGCATTTCTCTGTGAAGAAATCTGGGCCTGATGCTTTTTTTGAGAGATGGATACTTACTAAATATCTCTTTTTCCTCTATGGAAATTGCTCTGTTCACACCTGCTATCTCTATCAATTGGTTATCTTTGTTTTCCCAGGAAACCATGCATTTCACAAAGCTCTCAAATGTATTTGCTGGAAGGCCTAAAGTGTCCTGTACATTTTTGTCTGTTTGGATGATTTCCTTTCCCCTGCCATTTCTTATTTTGTACCTTTGTGCTTCTTCCCTTTTTCTCCTTGACTGTGTTAGCTAGTGGTTTCTCTATTTGGGTTTTGTTTGTTTGTTTTCAAAAAACACTAAAAAGAAAGTAATTTCAATAATTTCAATAATTGTTGCTGTTCTAATCTAAATCCCTCTAAAACCAACTCTAAAACAAAACACAGTTACAAACATGATACTCTAGGTGTAACAGCAGACACTCAGTTTCTTCATTTAAGAAACTTCATATTCTTTTCTTTCTTTTTTTTCTTTCTTTGGTTACCACCTAATATTGTTGGCTCACAGAGTTGTCAACCAAAACCCCTAAGTGATTTTTAACACATTTTGCTGCTAAACCACATTACTTTCAGCCTTGTGCGTGTAGAATTTCTCTTCCTCTACATATACCTTTAATGATCTTCAACTTGTTAGATTCCATCTCATAAGATCCTTCTAGACCCTATAATTCCAGGTATTCATTTACTCAAACCAAACAACTTTTCTTGAGCCCCTACTATTCTGCTGGCTTGTGCCAAGACCAGTGCTTACAGGCACATAACTGTGTCATAAAGTTGTTCTCTGAGACAACAGACAAACATTAAAAAATACTATCTGTGCACAGAAGGAGCAACAGGATGGAAGGATGTGGGGATCAGGGAAGGGTCTAGAGGAAAGGAGACATTTGTCTGGTTCCTTAAGGATGTCTGCCAGTTGGAGAAGGGGAAAAGGCATCCTAGGGAGAGGTGGTGAAGAAAGAAAGGAAGAAAAGAAAAAAAGAGGGAAAAGGAGAGAAAGACAAACAGAGAAAGAAGTAAACAGAAAGGAAGGGAGGAAGGGAGAGAGAAGCGAGGGAGGGAGGGAAGGAAGGGAATGAAGGAAGGGGAAGGGAGGGAGGGAAAGAAAAGAAAAAACAAAACAAAACAAAACAAAGAATGAGGAAGGGAGGAGGCAAGGAGGTAGGGAGGGAGGGAAGAAGGAGGGAAGAGTGAGCACTGAAGGCATATGGTATCCAGGAGGAACAGCAGCTATAAATTCGTGTGTGGGCAGAGCCTTCAGTGGCCGGTGATGATGGTGGAGAAATAGGTCAGCACAAGACCTATCCACACTTAAACTTAAAGCTCAAAGACCTTCAATGGCAATGTGTGACATTTTGAAACAGGAGGGTACAACAGTGAGACCTGCATCCTAGAAAGGTCACTCTGGACACACAGTAGAACACGGGATAGAACGAGGAGCATTCAGGGGCGCCTGGGTGGCTCAGTGGGTTAAGCCTCTGCCTTCGGCTCAGGTCATGATCCCAGTGTCCTGGGATTGAGCCCCACATCGGGCTCTCTGCTCCGTGGGGAGCCTGCTTTGCTTCCTCCTCTCTCTCTCTGCCTACTTGTGATCTCTGTCTGTCAAATGAATAAATAAAATCTTAAAAAAAAAAAAAAAGAAC